ATTTTTTTTTTTTAAACAGAAAAAAGTGTCCAATGCGGGAATCGAACCCTGGTCCTAGTGGTCAAAAACCAAACGGTTTAACCAGCCTTCCACCGACCCCCTTGTATAACCTTGTTGATTCATTAAATAATACAAGGTAATAAGAGGGGGGTTGGTGGAAGGCTGGTATAAACTGTTGGTTTACTACCGCTACGAACCGGGTTCAATTCCCGCATTGAGTACTATTTTTCTTATTTAAAAAAAAAAAATGCTCCAATGTCCCTCTATTCTTGCAAAAGTCCAACCCCACTAGCGAGTATAAGTAACCAAACAGGGCTCTGGCATATTCATTTGTAAGTGCAAAGTTGAACTGTTTTTCACGTGTGTAGACATGTGGTGCACTTACAGTAAAAGAGGTCGCCTTCTTCTACCCACCATGATTATCATGGCCTGTACCACGTGTACTAGGGATAAGCAAAAAAAAAAAAGGTAATAAGACCCAATTCAAATAAATAATTAGTGTGTGACGTTTCGGTAATAGTGTTGTTACCATCTTCAGACAAAAGTACTGAATGAGAAATTTTACTACAGCATGTTTTAAATAGTTACTGTTCTCAGGTGTGTAAACAAGATAGCAGTTAAGAAAAAGATAGTTTTCTAAGAACCCTAAAATATTATTCTTAGAATTAGAAGTGGAAAAAAAAACCCACGTTTTTTTTAGATATAATTAAAGGCATATCTAGAAATACCATTGATATTTCCTCTTTCTTCCATTTTGTTAATTGTAGCACATTTCTTTTGAATGAAAAAAACTTCTTTAAATTGTCTCTTATAGTAATTTTTCATATAATCTAGTATCTTTGTTTCTTTTAGATTGAAATTATTATGCTCTGTATGCTATCTTGTTTACACACTTGATAACATTAATACAAGAAAATAAAACCTAATCCAAATAATTTATTAGTGTGTGACATTTTGGCAACAACAGTCACCATCATCAGATAAAATAATTCTTTTGTCTGATGATGGTGACAATGTTGTTGCTGAAACGTCACACACTAATAAATTATTTGGATTAGGTCTTATTTTCTTGTATTATAATCTATAATCCAAATTATGCTTTATCATTGATAACAGTAACTATTTAAAACATGCTGTGGCAAAATTTCTCATTCCGTACTTTTGTCTGAAGATGGTAACAACGATGTTACCAAAAAGTTACACACAAATTATTTATTTGGATTCGGTCTTATTACCTTGTGTTTATAATCTATAATCCAAATTGTACCTTATCATTCATTAAAGGATAATTTGACACTTGCAATGAGCTTGGAATACAATATAAAAAAGTTGAAATAAATCATTTTTACAAGAGAAGGAATTGCCTGACATCATCTTGAAGAAGGAACAAAAGTTTAACGGCGAGGTGTTTATTATATTAATGCTGTAAATTCGGCAAGTTTTCTGACTATGACGTCCTTCGACAGGCAACTTTCCAAGAAACTGAACGATAATATGTATATACAGGTAAATATTTACATAATTAGAACTTTTATTAGTGAAATAAATGATTATTATACAAAATTCTTTTCTCTTTATCTATGTATACAAATTTGTTCTAAGAAAAGGATGACTACCTTAGGATGCAGGGAAAGGCAAAAAAAAAAAACTTCTGAAATGGTGTTTTCCATAGGAGATTTACTTATTAAACCTATGTAGGTTACATAAATCTTCTCTTCTTATTTCTTATCTCCACTCAATCATATTAGGGTGTGAAGCTTGTAAAGCTTGAGACTTTTGAAAAAGAGATTTGACAACCATCATGACTGGGTGAAGTAGAATGCGTCTGCCTTTGTCATTAAGACTGGGAGCACTACTCAGTAGCAGGCCGACTTAGCTCCAAAAGAAATGGCCACCTCTGACATGAGGAACAGATGCCATGTGCAGCCGCTCCTAACATGGAGTACAAACGCTGCTCATCCTGTATCCCTGGATTAGGAGCCCTTACAGGGTACTATCAGCCGGGCCAGCTGAACCCAGGTTTTTTAGTGAGCTAGTTACTGCTCCCCCTCCTCCTTTTTCATCCGGGCTTGGGACCGGCAAAGGCGGAGTTTGGTTACATAAATGATAATGTGAAACACCAATTTTTGTGTTGAAAGAATCTACCATTACTTATCAGCATTGACTTATCATGACTGAGTCCCCGATGAGAGACCGGTTTCACAGTGTTTTTTGGGCGGTCTTTCATGGGAGACTCTACTGTATACAGTTAAACCTATCTATAGCCCCCCCTCTTGGGACTCACCAAAATAGGGTGCTATAGAGAGGGGTGGGGTGCTATAAACAGATCACTTTTAATGTAAAATGTTTACATTTTAATGTTTAAAATCGGGCGCTATAGAGAGGAAGGCACTATAGAGGGGGCGCTATAGACAGGTTTAACTGTACTATAATTTGAATCCAGAGTGTGTTGGAACCAAAAGGAACTATTGCAGGAGTGGAGGATACATCCAGTCCCCAGCTCCCTTCACCCATACCTCCCCTCGCTGACCTCCGGAGCAACAAGCCAATCAACACTCCTGCAGTTGGAGAGAGAGTGAGTGGCAGCGTGCTCAATCTAAGCTTCTACCCACCATGATTATCATGGCCTGTACCACGTGTACTAGGGATAAACAAATATATATATATTAAAAATAAAGTAGGCATATCCTGACCAAGAGCACATGTGCTTTTCAGAAGGCAGAGCGCCATCTGGTAGAACAGGTTAAATCAATGAATAATAAATTTCTGTTCCGCCAGATGGCGCTCTGCCTTCTAAAAAGCACATGTGCTCCTGGTCAAGATATGCCTACTTTGTTTTTAATATCAAAACCTGACCCACTTTATATTTATTTTTTTTAAATTGTTTTTTTATATATTTATATGTGAAAAATAGTACAAAAGTGAATTTGTACTTGGATCAGGTAGATAAATTAAGAAAAAATACATTTCCTTATCGTGCAACTGAAAGTTGATGATGGCTTGCGCCATCTATCAGAATAAATATCAACTAATACCATTTCTTGATTAATCAGGAAATGTCTTTTTTCTTAATTTATCCACCTGATCCAAGTACAAATTCTCTTTTGTACTATTTTTCACCTTGATTGGTGTTCTGACTCCCTTCCGGCCTAAATACCTGTTTCATGGTTTTTCAGGATGCCCCAAAGACCTGCCTTTTTGGTCGTTGAGGTACAGCTTACACCACGCTGACGAGGGCCAACAGCCCGAAACGCGTCCGTGGTTAGCTTTTCTTGATTAATCAAGAAATGGTATTTGGCCAATTCTGGAATAATTAAAAATCAACGATTATTTGATATTTATTCTGATAGATGGGGCAAGCCATCAGCAAATTTTAGTTGCACGATAAGGAGATGCCTTTTTTCTTAATTTATATATATACTAGCCGAATGACCCGGGCAACGCCCGTGTTTTAATTTAGACATGTGGACCTGTTGGATCATTAACGCCCGTGTTTTACTCAATTGAATGTTTTTATTCAAATACTATTTGTTACAATTATAAATTGGCGCCTTAAATAAATGCATATATTAGTTAATAACTATAGCCTATGTGCTTTATCTGTCTATGTACTGTTGGCTTCCGTAGGCGTCTCTTACTGGGAAAAAGAAAGAGAGGATTCCATTTAGTTATTAACTAATATATGCATTTATTTAAGGAGCGACCCGCTCCAACACAATAGTTACAAAAACCAAAAAGCGAGTGGGGGGGGGGGGCAAAGTGTCTCGCGCAGTGGCGGCGCCATCGTAGCGAACCAATAGGAGAGCGCCATTCCAAAAAAAAAAAGCAAACGGTGACAGAGATGAAGAACGCATGACGCTCGTAACTGTATATAGAATTGTCAATAGATAAAATTTGTGGTGATGTGAATGGTGGTGGGAAGTTAATGGAAATGTTTCATTTAGTCCCACAGGCAGCTTTCTTGTACAGCTGCTATCATTGATTGCTGTACTCAGCACTGCTACATGGGGAATATATCTTTTTGTTTGTCCTAGATATTGTTTCCAGAATCGCCCATATTTTTCCCCTTTATTATAACAAAATTACAATTTGTTCTGGGCTTTAGTGGTGGGTTACATCAGAATAATAAAGCCATCAACTAGTAAATCAAGTTTAATTGCCATCTCTCTATCATTAAAATATTACACACATATAAACTTACTGGCAATGCGCTTCTTTTCAATATCATCAATTATTATCTCTACAGACCTTACTGAAATGATATGAGTTATTGAATGAGAGGGCTTGGCTCATCAGTAGTGAACCCTCTCAGCGGTTTCGCCAAATTATATAAAAATTTAATAAATATATTTAATAAAAATAAATTTATTTGTGTAAAATTTTAAAGCCATCAACTGTTATGGTGTCTTTAACATACAGAGATGATCCATCATCAAACTTTTTTTTTACCATATTTAGGCACACTTCTAGTCATTTGATAATAAAAAAGGAATATATTGGATTGAATAAAAGATTAATTTGTCAATATTTGGGTTGACTGATCCCCTAACCTTTGTCAAAGCATTTTTCTATAAAGAGTTTGTTTATACAAAAATGTAATGCCTTGACAAAGGTTGGCGTTAAGCCAACCAAAATATTGAAAAATAAATCTTTTATTAAATCCAATATCTTTTTACTAACTAAATACATAGATTTCTCTATATTCAGAACTTCTAGTCATATACTCATTTATAATACAAAATAATGCGGCTTATGATTGTAAAACGACATTTGAAAATTATCCTGCATGTGTTTCTTTTAAACAAAAAATCGAAATTTATTTTTAAGGAGAAATAACGATTATTTCTAACCTTAGGGATGAAGTATGAAAGGATGAATTGTGAAGAGTAATGATAAACGGAAAAATAAAAGTGTCCAGGGATGGGAATGGAACCCACAGTGTTCCGCTTACCGGGCAGATGCCATGTCCACTAGTCTACCCTGGATGAGCGGAAAAATATGTCCAGGGTAGCCTAGTGGACATGGCATCTGCCCGGTAAGCAGAACGCTGTGGTTCCCATCCCTGGACACTTTTATTTTTCCGTTTATCTTTACAATTCATCCTTTCATACTTCATCCCTAAGGTTAGAAATAATCGTTATTTCACCTTAAAAAATAAATTTCAATTTTTCGTTTAAAAGAAACACATGCGGGATAATTTTCAAATGTCGATATACTCATCTGTTAAGACATGGGGCACCTACTTCACTCAAATAGTGATGCAGAATGGTTTAAATGACTGTGGAGTTGGAATCTTCAATCCCACAATAGGTTCCACCAGTCTTCAGCCCATTCCTGACTGTAATGATGTTTCCTCCATTGACTGAAGCCTGACTCTGGAATCTTTGATTAACCAAACCACTCTTCTCTGAAACTCCCCAAAACGATCTGAATATTATACAGTAGAACCTCCCTTTAGCAGACACCCCACTAGCAGACACCTCTCTACAAAGGACAGTTTTCATTTGCAAAATTACCATTTTTACTATTTAGCAACTCTCTGGTAAGAGGACACCTATCTACAAAGGACAGTTTTCATTTTCAAAATTACCATTTTTACTATTTTGCAACTCTCCGGTAAGAGTAAACCTCTCCACAAAAAACAGTTTTCATTTGCGAAATTACCATTTTTACAATTTAGCAACTCTCTGGTACCTCTCCACAAAGGTCAGTTTTCATTTGCAAAATTACCATTTTTACTATTTAGCAACTCTCCGGTAAAAAGACACCTCTCCCTAATGGACACTTTGGCTCTGCAATTAGGTGTCCTTTACAGGGAGGTTCTACTGTATTACAATAAGGACAAAAAATATTTTTTTCTGAAAACAGCCTCCAATGTTTTTTTCAAATCATCAGCTAAGTTTAAGCGCAGAATTGCCCAGTATTCATTTTTTGTTCAGGATGGCATTTTTTCAGTTCAAAAAAATTTAACATCTTGCCGTCAAACTTTTGGAAAGTGTTAAGATATAAACACATCTCAGCAAGTTGTGCCCACAGTGTGCACATATTGGAGTGTATTTCTAATTCCCTTGGTTATAATCACTGCTTATCTCCACTCAATCATATTAGGGTATCAAGCCTGTAGAACTTGAAATTTTTGATGGTGTCTTCTGAAGATGAGTAGAGCTAATCAAATGAGATTTGACAACCAAAATGATTGGATGGAAGTAGAATGCATCTCCTTTTGTCATTAAGAGTGGGAGCACTACTCAGTAGCAGGCCGACTTGGCTCCAAAATGAAATGACCACCTCTGACATGAGGAACAGATGCCATGTGCAGCTGCTCCTAACATGCAGTACAGACTCATCCTGTATCCCTGGAGATCTTACAGGGTATCATCATCCGGGCCAGCTGAGCCCAGGTTTTTAAGTAAGCTTGTTACTGCTCCCCCTCCTCCATCCGGGTTTGGGACCGACAAAGGCAGAGTGAATAAAATCACTACTAATTTTTTGGGGGTCGGTGGAAGGATGGTCTAAACCATTGGTTTTCGACCGCTACGACTTGGGTTCGATTCCCGCATTGGACACTTTTTTTCTGATTAAAAAAAAAGAATGTTCCAATGGCCTTCGTTTCTTGCAAAAGTCCAACCCCAACAGTGAGTACAAGTAACCAAACAGAGCTCTGGAATATTTGTAAGTGCAATGTCGAACTGCTTTTCACATGTGTAGACATGTGGTGCACTTACAATAAAAGCAGTCGCCTTCTATCCACCATGATTATCATGGCCTGTACCACATGTACTAGAGATAAGCAAAAAAAAACTCCTAATTTTAAACAACATTCTAAAAATTCTTTCCTTTTCTTTTCCAGTAAACATGCAAATTTTATTAAAATGTTCTCATTACTTTCTATTTCCCACTTTAAGCATGCTGCTTTGTTCCAGCGCCGGTACAATCTCAGAGAACGGACCCCAGCTAACTACAGGATTAGGCTACATACGGGCTAGATGTAAGTATGTTTTCTCAAATTTAGCACTGAAAATCATTTGTCTAGGAATTAAAAAGAACTCTATTTGTCTTACACACAGTTTATACAGTTAAACCTGTCTATAGTGCCCCCTCTAAATAGCACTTCCCTCTCTATAGGGCCCTATTTTCTTCTTCTTCTTCTTTCTTATCTCCACTCAATCACACTAAGGTATCAAGCTTGTAAAGCTTGTTGATGGTGTCTGCCAGGGAAGAGTAGAGCTCATCAATGGATGAGTCAATACAGTCAATAATATGTCTTGGGGTTGCAGGCTGAGAATTGCACTTAGTACATAGTGGGAAAACCTTGCAACCATTCTGGAAAGACATTTTCCATAGATGACCAGACTTAAGTCTGGAAATCAAAGACTGTTGTTGGGCCCTATTTTTTTTTTTTTTTTGCTTATCCCTAGTACACGTGGTACAGGCCATGATAATCATGGTGGGTAGTTAGCGACTGCTTTTTTTACTATAAGCGCACCACATGTCTACACATGTGAAAGCAGTTCGACTTTGCACTTACAAATGTGCTAGAGCCCCGTTTGGTTACTTGCACTCACTGGTGGGGTTGGACTTTTGCAAGAATCGGGGGGCCATTGGAGCATTTATTTTTAAACAGAAAAAGTGTCCAATGCGGGAATTGAACCCGGGTCTTAGTGGTCGAAAACCAAACGGTTTAACCAGCCTTCCACCAACCCCCGGGCTCTATTTTAAATACATAGTACGATGCGATTTACATTAAAAGTGACCTGTCTATAGCTCCCCCTCTCTATAGCACCCTATTTTAGTGAGTCCCAAGAGGGGGCGCTATTGACAGGTTTAACTGTATATTTATTTCTATATTTAACATTATAAAATTCAAATTAAAGGCTTTTTTGGAATCTTTATCTTGGATATTTAAAAAGTCTCTCTCTCTTGTGATAAGGCACAATTTGGATTTATAGATTACAAACACAAGGTAATAATATATAATCCAAATTGTGCTTTATCATTTTTGATAGACTTCAATGGACCTATGAAGTTATTCTTCCTATGAGCTGAAGAAAATGAATTTAACACACTACAATTTATTTATTTAGATTTGGTCTTATTACCCTGTGTTTAAAAAAGGCTAGATAAGGACACCTTTACAATATCTTGTTAAATGAGAATGAAGTGTTTATATATAACAGCACTTTTTGTAGCCATGGGTTGTATAAATTTACACAAAGCATGACGCGTCATCTATACACATATATATATGAAAAAATAGTACAAATGTAACATTGTACTGGGATAAGGTGCATAAATTAAGAGAAAGGCATCTCCTTATCGTGCAACTGAAAGTTGCAGATGGCTGGCGCCATCTATCGGAATAAATATCAACTATTCTCGTTGATTTTTAATTATTCCAGAATTGGCCAAATACCCATTCTTGATTAATCAAGAAAAGCTAACCACGGACGCGTTTCGGGCTGTTGGCCCTCATCAGCGTGGTGCAAGCTGTACCTCAACGACCAAAAAATTCGTCATTAAGGCATCCTGAAATGCCTTAATGACGAATTTTTTGGTCGTTGAGGTACAGCTTGCACCACGCTGATGAGGGCCAACAGCCCGAAACGCGTCCGTGGTTAGCTTTTCTTGATTAATCAAGAATGGGTATTTGGCCAATTCTGGAATAATTAAAAATCAACGAGAATAGTTGATATTTATTCCGATAGATGGCGCCAGCCATCTGCAACTTTCAGTTGCACGATAAGGAGATGCCTTTCTCTTAACATATATATATATATATTTTTTTTGCTTATCCCTAGTACATGTGGTACAGACCATGATAATCATGGTGGGTAGAAGTAGGCAACTGCTTTTACTGTAAGTGCACCACATGTCTACACATGTAAAAAGCAGTTTGACTTTACACTTACAAATGTGCCAGAGCCCCGTTTGGTTACTTGTACTCGCTGGTGGGGTTGGGCTTTTACAAGAATCGAGGGCCATTGGAGCATTTTTTTTTTTATTAGAAAAAAAGTGCCCAATGCAGGAATCGAACCTGGGTTGTAGCGGTCAAAAACCAACGGTTTAAACCATCCTTCCACCGACCCCTATACACATAAAATGAAAGTATTTAAGCATGAATGTTTCTTTTATAAACAATACAAACTTCTACTGTTCTTACTGCGATGGACAAATATATCGGGAGGGCTTGGCTCATCAGTGGTGAACCCTACCAGCTGTTTCGCCAATTTAATCTACCAGACCGCTTCTTAAAGCTCTAATACTGTATTGGACGATTCTGCTTATATACGCAGCACTAAAGTGCAGAATCTCAGAAATGGTATTAAAAAAAACAATGGACATAAGTTCTTTTAGGACAGTAGAATAACATATAAATATTTGCATCGAGCAATGCTCTTCCACAATGTATCTATTACTTGGTATCTGACAGCTAAGAGCTGACCCCTTTGTTTCCAGGAGGAAAGCTTCAGCAAGAAGAGACACCTTCTTTCTTAGAACCTATTTCTTACACCCCATATCACATTTATGTTGAGATATCTAGTCTATTACAGTAGAACATCCAGGAGAGGACATTCATGCTAGAGGACACCTCTCTATAAAGGACAGTTTTTATTTGCAAAATTACCTTTTTTACCTTTTTGAAACTCTCCGGTAAGAGGATACCTCTCCCTAAAAGACACTTTGGCTCTGCAATTAGGTGTTGTCCTTTACAGGGAGGTTCTACTGTATTTGTTCTTAATTGGACATTACTTGTACCATTCACATTCCCTGTAAGTCATTCGCAACAAGAGAATAAGACCCATTCCAAATAAATTAATAGTGTGAGACGTTTTAGTAACAGCGTTGTTGTTGTTTCTTATCCCCTTGTGTAAAGATTACACGAATTCCATGAGTTCATGCTCCTCGAGCTGTTTTATGATGAGCAGCAGCCTCTTCCAAAGGTACTGTTTAGTGCATCTAATGCAAGCCAAAATGTGTTCTGGAGCTGCAGGTGCCAAGCTACATTTTGGGCAAGTGGGGTAGATTTTGTTATTATTTTCAGAGTTCAGTTACTTTTTCAGTAACAGCA